AAAAAAAAAAAGGTACTTTGAGCACCTCTTTGTCCATGGGCTCCACAACAAAGTGATAAATACAAATGCTCCTTTGTCCTGTGGATTTTACCAAATTTATCGAAAATTCTGTGTGATTGGATGGGTCAGGGGTGGAGGTTGTGACATGATAGAGAAAGGTAGTTGAATGGTGCAGAAGATGTGGGATAGGGGAATAAGAAATATAAGTACTATTTACATGTATATGATAGCAACAACTTGAGTCTTTTGTGAGAATTTCATTTATCTTGGGAATGTCTTTTAAACCTGAAATAAAGTATAATTATTTTAGATATGGATCAGTGTTTTTCTGTGAAATGCTAAATTCTTGTTTTTGTTTTATTTTAATGCCGGATTCTGTAAAAGCATTCAGCCTTCATGATCTGTGAAATAACTGTTTAAAAAATAAGATTCATGGAAAGTGTAGTTTTTTACTTGGTGAACTATTTTACCTAAGACCTGGGTTAGGTTTGCAGTTCTCGTATTTCTGTCAAGTTTTTTTGATTTTTTTCTAAACAGGTCTTTTTGTTATAAATGAATGGATTAAAAAAAAAAAGATGAAGACTGTGTGTATACATACGCGCGCACATGTGTGTGTGTATGTGTGTTGTTTACCCCAAATGTTTACGCATTGAAACCAACATATCTTTTACTCTAAGTTGACCTGCCCAATCGTCTGCTTATAAGCTAAGGAAAACACTTTGTGAGTGTCTAAACAGAACACTAACCTCATTATTTTTCTTAGATCAAAGGGATTATATCTGTGAATATTGTGCTCGGGCCTTTAAAAGTTCTCACAATCTGGCAGTGCACCGGATGATTCACACTGGCGAGAAGCCATTACAGTGAGTATTTATTTACTGATGAACATCTGGGTGAGAAGTATATATATCCCACTTGAAGACTTGCTCCTTTACAAACATTGTAGCTGCCACTGCTATTGACCATTATCAAATTAAAAAGTGGGTATTGATTGGGGTGAGCTACTTAGTGGCCTTTGTTTTTCAAGCAAACAGGGAAAAGAAATTCAGACTAGTTTCCCATCTAGCAACATTTCCTAATCCTTCACAAAAGTATATGTTGCTAATTATCATGTATATTTATGAGCTCCAGTTCTCACCCTGACCCTGAATAAGAGCTCTCTTTATTTCTGCTTGTTTAGCCATTTCTTTTCTACTCTTCTGTAGATGTGAGATCTGTGGATTTACTTGCCGGCAAAAGGCATCCCTTAATTGGCACATGAAGAAACATGATGCAGACTCCTTCTACCAGTTTTCTTGCAATATCTGTGGCAAAAAATTTGAGAAGAAGGACAGTGTAGTGGCACATAAAGCAAAAAGCCACCCTGAGGTGCTGATCGCAGAAGCTCTGGCTGCCAATGCAGGCGCCCTCATCACCAGCACAGATATCTTGGGCACCAACCCAGAGTCCCTGACACAGCCTGCAGATGGTCAGGGTCTTCCTCTTCTTCCTGAGCCCTTGGGAAACTCAACCTCTGGAGAGTGCCTGCTGCTGGAAGCTGAAGGGATGTCAAAGTCTTACTGCAGTGGGACAGAACGGGTGAGCCTGATGGCTGATGGGAAGATCTTTGTGGGAAGCGGCAGCAGTGGGGGCACTGAAGGGCTGGTGATGAACTCGGATATACTCGGTGCTACCACAGAGGTTCTGATTGAAGATTCAGACTCTACTGGACCTTAGTGGAAGGGAAGACTTGGGGCACTGGGACAGCTCAGACTTTGTATTTAAAAGTTTAAAAGGACAAAAAAAAAAAAAAATTTAAAGCATTTAAAATCTAGTAAGATAACTGAAGGGCCTGCTCTTTCCATTGTGGATCACAGCACACATATGCACATCCCCCCATCCCCATCCCTCTCTCTTATCCCTTTCTGGTCCCCCTTATAAAATTGATACTGTCTTTACCAACAAAGGTAGACAAAAAAGAAGCAGCAGCTCTTAAAGTGAGGGCCATCCTCATACTCAGTTCTAGCCAACAGCAGACTTCCCGCTCGTTGGCAGATCCCCTTTCCAACCCGTAACTCTGATGTGCTCTGGATCAGCTTCTAACTCTTTAATAGTATATTACTGTCTTCTAAATCCCTTCTCCTTCTCTACTGCTGCCCTACGGTTCTGGCTTTTACCCACTATGGCACACTTATCCTCAATTATCTTAAAATTCTAATCTCCAGAGGCTGGCAGCTTGACTTGGCACTTTAGGGCCCCTTAGCAGGGTGAGCTGTTCAAAACAGCACACATCTCTCACCCCCTCTTCCTCCATTCCCCACTGGGTTTGGAAAGGAAGGATACATGGGGACCACCTCCTTCTTCCTGGATCCCAGCATCTCAGTCCCCTTCCCAACCCTCCATATGGCTCTCAATGGTGCTCACTTGCTTGGAAGCATACTCCTGGGGGGGTGGGGAGGGGCTGCCCTCTGTACAGTCTCTTGGACTGCAAGGCAGGGCTCTTTATCAGTGAGACAGTGAGAAAAGTCCCAGACTAATAGCAGAAATTTGCACTTTGAACATGTGTGTCTTTGTGTTGTGGAACCTGAGATTTCTTATTTATTAACAGAAAGTTTGATTTTTATTTTTTATTTTTGTCTTTGTTGCTATATTTTGTGAGGCTGGACTGAGAAGTTAGATTTTTCTGGCATGTGATCCTTTCCATAAGAGGTACTTTGAAAACAAGACATAGAGTTAAAGAAGCACAGCCAGCCTCTGAAATCATAGCTCTCCAGTGGCCTTTAAAGAAAGCTGGTCCTCAGCACTAACAAAGTCACTACAATAACCTACTTACTGCTTTTGGGGGAAGGATGTTAGGTTCGTGGTAACTAGTATGGTCTTTAAAGATTTTTAGAGCATTGAGATTCAGGAATTTCAAGGGGATAAGGAGGGTTGTTGAGGATCTAAATTACAGAGAAGATTTTCTCTTGTGAATTTGTTCTTTTCTCTATCATTTCTTTACATACCCTTCCTATTGGCCCAACTCTGGCCCCTTCCCTTGTTTTGTTTCTTGCTTTGCTTTATCATTGGTTCATTCCAGGTCCCTGTTTAGTGAAGGACACTGCCGTTTAGTGAAGAAACAAAATCTGTAAGTCCTAAAGTGTTAAGTCAAAGAAAACTTTGCTGTGTTGTTTCCCTTTTAGTAACACTTCAGAAGAGTAAAGGCTTCGATAGACAAATTAATAATCTATAGAATAATGGCTTTGTTTTGCACCTAAATTTCTGGAAATCACCACTTTTCTGGGATAGGGATTTTCATGGGGTATAGATTGCTTATTACTGTCCATGGTAGAGATGGGTAATTCATAACTCCCAGAAGAGTAAAAATATTTAGGCTCATTTTTAGAGAATTGCAAGGGCAATTCCTATCTTTCTGTGTACCTCAGAAGCTGGAATTGAAGGCTTACCCTATTCATTGTTTTATTGGCATAAAAATATGATGGCTTTTGGAAAGAATGAAGTTTTGCTGAAAACAAAATAAGCAACAGCTTGTTTTTTACAGCCACTAAAACTACCAAGTTTATCAATCCTTTTTATTTATTTTTTCCCAAAACAAGGGGTAACAAAATGTCATTTTTGAAAAGAGGCTTAGTTTACACCCACTCATGTCAGTGGTTGGGATGCCAGAAATACAGAGTGAGACCTACAGTGAACAGTCTTAAATGCACTCTTGTTTCTTCTCAGAGATTTGTTACAGATCTGCCATCCTTCTGATGTGGGGGTAGAAAATGAAGTAAGGATAGAAAGGATGTAGAATATGCTTTCCTGACCACAGTAAGGATTCAGAGTTGACTTTGGTATTTTGAGTATATTTGAAAATATTTTAAGATTGGTTGGATGAGCCTACATCAAAATTGTTCTGCTCTCAAATAAGTCCCTTTTAATACCATTTCACTAGTTAGCATCTCTAACTGAGACTAAACTTTTGTCGTCACACTTTTTTTGTCTCCATAAATTTCATTTTGCCTTGGTTAGCCATCAGATATTTTAGACACCTACATAAACAAAAGCAAACTGCATATTAAAAAACCTCTTTCTGAGATAGGGAAAATGTTCTCCTTTCTTGTACTATTGCTCAAATACTTCACAAAAAGCAACTAGCTAATTCTAATTAGAAACTTCCTGCTCTTTTCCTTTCTTTTTTTCCTTTCTCTTATTTTTTTTTTCCTATTTCTTTATTTGGTCTTCATAGTTATCATTACCCTATAATAAATTATTGTAGCAGTTGGCAATAAATTTTAAAGTGTTTTTTATGGACTTTATAATTTTTTTTTTTTGAAAAAGGGGTGCTAGGATAGTAAAAAGTTGATATAAATAAAATCATCTAAACCCTCTTCCTATTTTCCATTCTGCTCTACATGTTTATTTTATTGTTTTTTAAGGAGCTCTTTGAATCTTAAAATTTTACATTTTGTACTCTTAGTCAAACTCTGTTACCTTTCTAATAACTTTTCCCCTGCATATTCTCCATTTTGAGTTGGCACTTCTAAATTCTGAAAGTGTAATTAAGGTACAACTTTGTTATTTCTGGGAGATGTGCTTCCCTCTTGTTTGCGGTTGCCCAGGTTATTTTGCATAATTGAGACTCCTTAATATGCTTCAGAGAGTCTGGAAAACACTGGCCATGGGAGTCTTGGGAGCAAAAAAAAAAAAAAAAAAATTAAGGTATAGAAAAGCATCCACATAGAGCACTTGATCCTCCTTTATACTTGTTTGGAATAAAATATAAAAGAGTATACTACCAACCTAACTAAGGTTATTATAGTCTGGTTGTTTGAAATACCATTTCTTCCTTCTGTCTTTTTCCTACTTTCCAATGTACTCCAGAAAACTGAAAAAGTGTAATGGATCAATTTAAAATATTTTATTTCCTAAAAGCCTTTTTGCCTGTTGTAATATGCAGGACCCTTCTCCTTTGGTGGGAGAGACAGGTAGTTAACCTGGATCTAGGTCGAAGAGGTTATGTAAAAAGAAATTATAATAAAAGGGATACTTTGCTTTTCAAATTCTTGTTTTCTCTTAATCTAGGTAAGACATATTCAAAATAAATATTGTAAAGAAGAAAAATAAAAGTTGTCTTCATGGGAGCAACCTGTCTTCCTTGGTTGTACTGAGTTATAGTTAGCCTAGGGAGAAACAAAAAACCAGATGCCCCTCAGAGTGGGTTTTATGTAGATTATATTATTCACTCATTAAGAATCATACAATTTACGTTTGACTCAGTTTAGGTCTTGGTTTTTGACACTGAAATGCCATATGATTCTGTGATCATTCAGCAAACAAGGAAATCTCTTTGATATTTTGACAGCCTTCTAGGAGAAGTTGACCGTGTTAATCTAGTAGCTGGAACATTAAGGATTATTTGGTGTTAATTTCACTCTACTCTACCGTGCATGTTGGCTCACGCTTGTAATCCTAGCACTCTGGGAAGCCAAGGCCAGTGGATTGTCTGAGCTGACTAGTTTGAGACCAGCCTTAGCCAGAGTGAGACCTTATCTCTAAAAATAGCTGGGCATTGTGCTGGGCACCTGTAGTCCCAGCTACTGGAGAGGCTAAGGCAAGAGAATTGCTTGATCCCAAGAGTTTGAGGTTGCTTTGTGTTCAAAGTGATACTCTGGTCCCCCACCCCCCAAAAAAAACTTCACTCTGCTAATGACTAAACCTTGATAGCATTTGATATCAGTGCTTTTTCACAAAACTCAGTGTCCATATCAAGTACTGACCTTTAACAAGAAGAAAAAAAGTATAATCCTCCTTCCTTATTATAGGAAGGTACTACAGGAGAGTTCTACAGTGGCAGCTGCCCAGGCCTCTCCCTAACATTCCTCATTGTTTACCTATGTAAATTTGCTCCTGAGGTGGAATGTGTTTCAACTTATTGGCAGCATCTATGATACAAAATAGTTAATGCTAACTGATTGAATTGAGGATGAAATTTGCAGTTCTTACCCAATTAACATCATACTCTGAGTTGAATGCAATAGGCTGACAACTCTCCAAGTACCTTTTAGATCTTTTTGCCCTTGTTTCAATGCCTTGCTCATTCTCTCAGTTTTATTAAGAAGCATGTGATATGACTGGGCTAGGGAAGGAAAAGAAAAGCATGTTGTCACTTGAGCAAGACTGCCTTAGAAATGTTACCAAGTTAGGTTTGGGTATTTCCTGTCCTCGGAAGAGAACAGGCTTAAACAGTACCTTCCTCATGCTATAGCTACCAAGAAGACACCATGCTTGAGATTAGAGATGCTCCCTTGGTTATTTTTAATCAAATGTAAGTTTAAAAAACACTCAATAGTTACTATAAAAGGATAGGAGTGGGAAAAATGCTGTATTTTTAAAGGGTCTACTTCATACAACCTTTATTCTTAAACAGAATGTGAGCTACCTAAAGAAAGAATGAAATAGGAACATCAGTGGGAGAAACAACTGCGGAATCAAAAGGCCTATTTAAACTTTAGCCTAGTTTTTGGATTTTGTTATATTATTTTACTTCTTAAAAGCTTCAGTTTCTTCCTGGTATATGGGGGAAATAATATTTACCTCAGAATCAGTCTCAGTATCAAATGAGCATTGTTTTAAAGCTTTTTAACACAGTATGTGACCCATGATAGATGCTTAATAAATGGCAGCTATATTAATAATAGCAATGCTGTTAAACACTTTTTCAGACCAAAAAAAAAAAAAAGGCATAGGGAGTGTGAGGAGTATGATAATAAAATAAACTGATATGTGTTTATAAAATAGATTACATTAGGCAGAGGTGTCATGAGGATTAGTGTGATAGTGACCTTGTTGCTAAGTGCAAAAGCAAAACAATGACATAAAAACAAGTGTGCTGAGTACTGAGTGGAGGAGAGAGATGGAGGCAGACGCTGCAGGGAAAAAAAGCTGATTTAAAAGGGCCCTTTGATTCCACAGGCACAAAAAAGTCCACAGCCAGGAATTTGCTGCCACCTCTGAGTCAGGCATGGGGTGGGGGTGGGGTGTACAATCCCATTAGTAGAGAATGCCCAGTGGATTTAGTCTGTGAGAGTCACATTTCTTATTTGGACCAGTGTAGACAGAAGCAAACCCAGCTCACTTGTTTCCTGGGACAGTTGAGGTAGGGGATGGCTTTTGCAGAGCATTCCTCGCTGACCCCTCATCGCCGGGACCTCTGTAGCCGCTCTATCTGGCTAGCAAGGAAGATTCGTTCAGACCTGACTGCTCTTATGGAATCTTATGTAAGTTACCTATTTTGCTGTTGTCCATTTTCTTTTTACCTCTTCTAATCCAGCCCCACACCATCATACTCAAGCTCCATTAACAATTATGAAAGCTCTCATCATATAGTCATTCATAGATTGGACATCTGTTATTTGCCATGGCTCCTTCATGAGGAAACTCAAGTGACCTTATTTTCTTCCCTCAGGCTTTTTAGACCTATTATTTAGTGAATAAGAAAATGTATGTGACATTCTAGGTTGTATTGGCTATATGTCTTCGGAGGCTATTTCCTAATTTGATTGTCTATATTCTGCCAGAATAGGTAAACTATGGGCCCTTTAAGTTAGGGTTCTTCATTAGACACCGTTAAGAATTTTTGAGCTACGTAAATGAAAGGTCTATGGGATGGGGAGGAAAAGCAGTAGGAACTTTGGAGAAATTTATAAATCCTACCAATTTCTTCTATACTGTATTAGTCACCCACTTTTTAGTATTACACATCAAAAAATGTACCTTTGTCTAAATAGAAAGGTCACCCAGAGACTTGTGGAAGTATTAAATTCTTAAGATGCTAACCATGAAGTTTCAGCTTGGTTTTCTGACAGTAGAGGATCCTCATCAGTCTCCACTAAGGCCTACTGTGGAAATGCTCCAGCCCCTTGTGGGGAGTTGTGAATTTAGACTATTCTCTGAGAATTGTTTTATCTTTGTACAGCCTCTCCAGTCAGACATTAGACACCGATTACCTTTTTACTAATTTCTACTGCATTTTCTAACGGATTGACTTCACTTGAGAATGGGTACTTGGGATGAGGGTGTAGAGAAATTCTGCACTAACTGCATACCAGAGCTTCCTAGGTGTGGCCAGTGTCTTCAAGTATGTTTAAAATACTGAGACTCCAGTATGATTAAAATAATCCAGTTTCTAGGAGATACTTTGGAGTGGGAAGGAAAACTTTCTCTAAAGCAATGATTTTCAACCTTCAGAACTTAAAGAAAGCTGTGAACTTTCTCCCAAGAAAGATGCCCAGATAACTCAATTTCAGGGAATATTGAGTCTTCTAAAGTTCAGTCATGGATCCCAAATTAAGAATTCTTGTTCTAGAAATTTTCTTTACAATTCGGATCTTTGATCAGGGAGGTGAACAAGATTTTATATGCAGGGGAGATTTAAGTACAAACACTGAGGTGATTACAGAAGATGTGCTGTTTTCCTATATCCTTGGCCAGGTGAAGTATCAAGGTCTGAACAACAACATCAACCTGGACTCTGTGGATGGTGTCCCAATGGCAAGTACTGATAAGTGGAGTGAGCTGAGTGAGGCAGAGCGACTCCAAGAGAACCTCCAAGCTTATCGTACGTTCCACGTTATGCTGGCCAGGCTGTTAGAAGACCAGCAGGTACATTTTACCCCAACTGAAGGTGACTTCCATCAAGCCATACATACTGTTCTACTCCAAGTCTCTGCCTTTGCTTACCAACTGGAGGAGTTAATGGTATTCCTGGAACACAAGATCCCCCCCAATGAGGCTGACGGAGTGCCTGTTGTTGGAGATGGTGGTCTCTTTGAGAAAAAGCTGTGGGGCCTAAAGGTGCTACAAGAGCTTTCACAGTGGACAGTCAGGTCCATCCGTGACCTTCGTGTCATTTCTTCACATCAGACTGGGATCCCAGCACATGGGAGCCGTTATACTGCTAATGAAAAGAAAATGTAGCATTTAGCCCCATCCTTACTTATCTGATGGAATACACAGTTCCTTAGAGCCTTCCTTTCCCATCTTAAATTTCCGAAAACCTTTAAGACCACAGGCATTTTCGTCAAGTAGGGTTGGAGACATGAACAAATGGGCATACAGATCCAGGTGGGGGTGGGTGTGTGGACACGCCCATGCACGGGTGGGTGTGTGTGTGTGTGTGTATTAGGGGCATTGCGGGTGGAAGTACTAGGGATATTAGGGGTGGGAATAGCATCCTTCACTAACCTTTACAGGTATTTAACAGCCTTGCATAGAGAAGAGATACCTATTTAAACTCTAGCTCTGGAAAACTTGCCTGAGAAGGCTGAAGCTTTGAATTAAAATCATGGCTTTTAGCCAATTTAAACTCTTTGACAATAAAAATAATAGCTAACATTTATTCAGTGTCTGCTATATTGAGATAGTATGCCAGGGATGTTATGTATGTTGTGTGTAACTTTTATGGCAACCTTGGGAGAACAGTGTGGAGGGCAGTGGTGGTCCTCCCATTTGGCAGATGAGGAAACAGTTTCAGAGAGACGTGGTTAAAGTTTCACAGCTAGCATGTGGCACACTAAGTTTGAATACAGATCTTATTGTGAAGCTTCTGTCCTCTTAGAGGTTTGTTTATAAATCTCCCCTGTACTACTTTATCACAAAAGATTGGAAGATGTATTCATATACCCATCCTCAGCACTGAAAAAAATCCCCATTACATGTCCTTGTAAGTTAGTAACAAATTTTAGTGTTAGTAGTCAGTATTTGTTGCCCATACCTGGCAAAGAAGAGAGCAGCTGGAGATCTTAAGGTTCCATTTAGGAAAGTGATTAGGCCCACCCAACTTATGAATGGTAATGCTGGGGATATGCAGTAATATAGCCTTGTTTAAAGTGCCCACTATTGAATTTTTTTGAATATTGGATTGGGCACAGCTTTTACCAGGTTATCTCACGTTTCTGTAATCAGCAATGCAGTGATACACTGTAACCAGGCATGTGTAGACAATGGATGGAATATTACTCAGGTTAAAAAGTCACCTCACATTCTCTGTACTTAGTCATGAGGAGAGGGTGAGGCCCACTCTGTTCCCACTGGAAATGCCAGAGATTCTGGAACAATACACAGCAAAGCTTCTGTGCTGCTCAACAGAGGGGCAGGGCTCTACATTTAATGTTCTTATAAGAACCACATATAGGGCAGCGCCTGTGGCTCAAAGGAGTAGGGCGCTGGCCCCATATGCTGGAGGTGGCAGGTTCAAACCCAGTCCCAGCTAAAAATAAAAAAGAACCATGTAGAATATGGAAGGTTAGTTAATGTGGGCATTAATAGAAAAGATCATTTTCAGCAAGACCCATGTACTAATAGTGCATTGTGACCAAAAGTTCTCAATATATTATTTATTTTATACTTGCCAGTTAATTAAGGCTCAAGATTTTGGATTGAGGGCCCAGGTTGATTTAGTTTAATTAATTAATCAAGGCTTCCATATTGCTAAATGAACCATGAGTCAGGGCCAGCTCCCATAGGTTGCATGGAGTGGAAGTGGGTAGCTTAGCTTGTATCCTTTCCCATGTGAAGTCGGCATTACAAGAGGAACCCAGGCCTTTTGGAAGTTCAGAAGAGGTGAGGCTCTGATTTCCAGTATGCATTTGTGGAAATATGGTTTCTTTATATATATGCATACATACATATATGTATATATGTGTGCGTATATATATGAGATCAATGCTATGCTGGAATTGAAAGGTGAGGATTTGTTACGGGGTTGAAGGAGATAAACAAGGACTCAGAATAGTTTCTTGGAGGAGGTAGGAGTTGAATCTCTGGCTGAATACACAATAGAAATCATGAGGAGAGAAACAGGGAAGAGTTTCCAGCTTAGTAAAAAGTTAGGCAATGGTAAACATTTGGGTGCAGCATCTAAAATTTCTTAATACTATTTATTAGCTTGCTAGAGCTAAAATGATTTAGCCTGTCGAATATAAATAAAAAAATCAAAAAACATTTGAACAGGTTCCGTGCCCATAGCTCAGCGGTTAGCTAGCCACATGCACTGGGACTGGTGGATTTGAACCCAGCTGGGGCCTCCTAAGCAACAATGACAACAACAATGACAAAAAAGCTGGGTGTAGTGGTGGGCTCCTCTAGTCCCAGCTACTTGGGAGACCGAGGCAAGAGAATCGCTTAAGCCCAAGACTTTGAGGTTGCTGTGAGCTCTGATACCACGGCACTCTACCGAGGGCAACAGAATGAACCTTTGTCTCCAAAAAATAAATAAATAAAAATGTAAACAAAAATAAATAAAAGGATGCCCCCCCCAAAAGTGATCCCTTTCTAAGTGTTTTTATATCCAGCACGTAGTAGGGCAGACATCTGCATAAGTTTCAGAAATCATTGGCACCTCTTAAGCACTTTGAAGTTGCATATGAAGGAATTTGTATATATAAGAGGTAGATTTGAAATAGCAGAAGGTCCAGAAAAGGTCTGAGTACTAACTATTGAATGGGAGGAGACAGGAAAAGTTTACTTCTTGAACAAGTCCCAGATGCAACCAATCTTTACTAAGCACATTACCAGCACTGTGCACAGAGCTATGTTTCAGTTTGTTTTTCAACAAACTTATGATAGCTTTCAAAAGAAGTGCGAGGGAACTTCTTAGAAAAAGATAAAGGGGAAATGAGCACAGCACTCAAGTCATAACAAAACTGTAAACATGGAGACGGTGCAAGAAATTTCATCATGTTTAGCCAAAATGGATAAGTCAGATTGAATAAGGGACTGACAGTGGACCACTGTTCCTGATGGGCATCTAGTATAGGTAAGGGTAATGATGAAATTGTGGAAGTATATACTTTTAAGGATTTATAATCCAAAAGATTTTGTTATTTAGACTTGTTATTTAATTCCCTTGCTTCTTAGGTCTGAATATGGTTAGGGCCTCTATGCTATGATGTAGTTATTAAAAGGTACCTAAATTTAGTTCCTAGCCCCTTTTATTTTATAAAAAGGATTCCTTCTATCCCACTGCTTTTAGAAAAGGCTTCTCTGTGAGAAAGAAGAGATTCCATTTTTCTTGTATTGATTTAAGTGGGTGATTTGGAAAAGCTTGCAAATTAATACAAGCTTGAAGGCCAAGCAGGGACTGAAATTAGCTTTAATATAATCAGGCTTCAGGGAAGTGAGAGTTTTAATAAAAATGGAAAGTATAGTCATAGCCTGGGTATTACTGTTATTTCAGGCTGCTGTGGATTAAAGCCCAATGGATGACTCATTGTTGTGACCACTTGTCAAACAGGGAGAGAACAAGTAAATATTTCAGGAAGACTTATCTGAAAAGTTGTTTACAATGAATTTTATTTGTGAATTTTCAGTTCTTCATGAGGTACCTGAACATTGTTTCCCTCCATAAAAAGGAAGAAATAGAAGCAGAAAGACCTCCACCAGGGTGAGAAAAAAATTAGGGAAGAGGAAAGGGAAGGGAGGAACAGAATTTGGATTTCTCTTCCATTGATTTATCCCGTGTGTGTGTGTGTGTGTGTGTGTGTGTGTGTGTGTGTCAGGGTGTTCTTTAAAAAGAGTGGTTTGTACTCCTGCTTCATCCCACCTCCACTTTAAACCCAAAAATGAGCTCTCTGAATGAATGTTGGTGCACTCAAAAATGATAAAATGATAAAAACTTAATCTCTTGGCTGAAAAACTTCTATAGTATTTTGAAGACTACAGATAGAGTAAAAAGATAATTTTATGAATTATGAAATGTACATGGGTGTGAGACATCTGTGTACTTACGATTCTTAACGTAAAATTTCTCAGATGGCTATGTTTTTGACACATACCATGTAGAAAATAAAAGATGCAAGAATAGCTAATAATAAAATTCTCTTCTTAGAAAGACCCTGAGTTACTTTTTTTTATTTCTATATCTTTGGATGAACAAGGGGAATTTCAAGTGATTTCAACACTGGATAAAATGTTATTCTCCCAGCCAAAGCCAGACTCAATCAGGCGTGCTGGGTAAATCTCCATAATGCCAGGCCACTGGGCAGAACTCCCAGGCCAGTCAGCCTAGAAAAGGTAGACTGCCTCCAAATCACCAGAGCAATGCTGCTTTGCCCTCTGGATATGTAGTCATATTGGTTAGCCTGAAGATGAGAAAGATTTCCTATCATGTGGTTTAATTTCAAGTATGTGATCCCCAAGAAAGCCTTGATTGAAGAGAAGACTGACTAGCCCATTTCTAGTCAGATTGGAGGTAGAAACTACATTGTGGAAAATCACATAGGGAAAATTGTGAAAAACTGCTGAGTGTTTTTTTTTTTGAGACAGAGTCTCAAGCTGTTGCCCTGGGTAGAATGCTGCAGTATCACAACTCACATCAGCCTCAAACTTTTCAGCTTAAGAGATTCTCTTGCCTCAGCCTCCCAAGTAGCTGGGACTACAGGGACCCGCCACAATGCCTGGCTATTTTTTTGTTGCAGTTGTCGTTGTTTTAGCTTTAGCTGGGTTCCAACTTGCCATCCTCGGTGTATGTGGCCAGCACTGTACCCACTGAGCTATGGGTGCCGCCAACAGCTGAGAGATTCAATATTTCTGTCCACATGTTCCAGGTAGTATGAAAGGGAATTATTTATTTATTTATTTATTTATTTTCTGAGACAGCGCCTCAAGCTGTCACCCTGGGTAGAGTGCTGTGGCATCACAGCTCACAGCAACCTCCAACTCCTGGGCTCAAATGAGTCTCCTGCCTCTGCCTCCCAAGTAGCTGGGACCACAGGTTTCTGCCACAACACCTGGCTGTTTTTTTGTTGCAGTTGTTATTTGGCAGACCCAGGCTGGATTCGAACCCACCAGCTCTGGTGTATGTGGCTGGCGCCTCAGCCACTTGAGCTACAGGCACCGAACCGGGAATAATGCATTTACTTGTTTACTGTCTCAGGCAGCTCTGCACTATTTTATGTCAGTCCTCTTTCTTTCATAGATGCGAGGGCATTAACTTGTCCAAGTTCCCTCTAGTATGACAGGGCTGGAATTTTAATTCTGCTGCATGCCATTCCATAGGACATCGAATAATTGAGATTATCTTATTCTGAGACCCATTCTCCATCACTGTAATTTGCTTTCCTTG